AACCAGTCACATTATTCCAATAATAATCGAGTGGAATTTTTGTTGACTCTCCAACAGCTTTAAGGGCAGCAAAATGTAAAACAGCCCAAATATTATATTTTTCGAATATTGGGATTAATGTCTTTTCATCCAAAATATTTGCATGGTAAAATTTCAATGGTCGTCTGGCAAGCTTTTGAACGCGAATTAAGGATTCTAACATCAAAAAAAAAAAAAAAAAGAATAATCTTGTGATTAGTTTAATATTAAAACCTATTAAGGAAAGTTAATACAAACCTTCACATGCATTCGACAAATTATCTATAACAATGACATTATAACCACATATTAAAAGTTCTAAAACGGTATGACTTCCAATGTAACCAGCACCCCCAGTTACCAGCACATAACCGTCGTGAGGACATGACTTTTTATTATCAAGGTTTTCCCTTCGTGTTTCAGTTGGTTCAAATGTTGGTATATTAATACTATTTTCTATTGTTTGTCGTCTATTTTGTTGGCGGTTTTGGTGTGCTTGGCAATGGTGTTGGGAATTGTCTATTTTATTGTCTATTTTATTTATCATTTTTGTTGAAGGTTCTTGTCGTTCCTGCGTGAAAAATGGCTTTGTTCTCGTTGACTTAGAGACAAGAGCATCTTCATGTATAGAAAGGATGTGACTATTTGTTGTAACAGGAGTTACCGTTGTCTCGATAAGATGCATACCGACGAGAATTTAAGACCGAGTTTGTTAATGTGCGGAAGAAGTGGTGAAAGGAAAGAAAAGGCGAAATTATATGTTCAAACACAGGATTGGCGGGTAATTTTGAAGGAGACCCGGAGATGGATACGAATTCCCTTCTATAATTCTATGTATTTATCTTTTTTCTAAGAAAAAGAAAAAAAACGAAGCAAAAAGCTGGGCAAAATCATCTTGCAGATTAAGCACAAATACTGCACAAATTACTGTTTGGACACCAATTATTGGCTAAATAAAATATACGTTCGAACTCAGTTATCAGGGGATGACGTTAATTACATGTAGCACCATTCCCTTATTCAGTCAGGTAACCTAACATTCTTGTCACAAACCAATAAAACTATAGGATTTATATTAAATATAATGCAAAATATGAATTTTAGCGTTATAATATTTAAGACCAAGAGTCCAAGATCGGACATAATTCCGTCGCAGGATGCCGGTTGATAATCATAGAAAAATCATTCATTATCAATATAAATTTATATACTGATTATTATAAAACATTAAATATAATAAGGGAATTGATACCCCCCAGTAAACTAAAATTGAGCGAAGATATCTCGACAACTACCAAGCAAAATTCAATGAACTTTTTTTATTCAAATTCTACGAATTGGTAGAATTCAAATAAAAAAATTCCGTTGAATGTGTGGTTGCGAAATATCTTAGCTCAAAGTTTGAGAAAATTTTAGTTTACTGGGGGGACGGATATCGGGTACGAATGTTACCGTTACGTCCTAAATTAATTTTAGCATAGTATAATATGTATCTCCGTACCTATTATACGTTATACGCATTAATTTTGATTAAAAAGAGTTAAAAATATCTCCGTTTAATAATATACGTGTGACGTCAAGAAAAACTAACTTCGATCATATAAAATTTATACGATTGAAGTCTGGTTTCCCTTGGCGTCACTCGATATACTGTGCATATATGCTATATATGTATAATATATTAATCAAATTTGGGCTAAGTGATTAAACTGAATAATGACGATCGTTATTTTTTTTTGTGCTAAAATCGGAAAACAGTTCCTCATGTGCTCCAATGTTGATACGACATTGTGCTATTACTACATTTAAGAAAATAAATTGGCTTTTTATCTAAATTTGGTTAAAGAAATTTTGTGTTATTTAATATGAGAATATAATTGTACACAGGCATGTGATTTTACACTATCTGCTATGAATAGAACAATAGGCTGGGTATGTACTATGTTGTATTTTGCTTTATATAATTAATGATTACTATTGCTATGTACCATCGGTCACTGCATACGTCAATATCCCCTCGAAAATAATATCCTACCACATAAAGTATTCCCCTTTTCCAATAACCCCTTTTCCAATAAGATCGCTGGATTCGTGAGTAATATATACCTGTATTATTCAATTTTGAAAATAATGCTCTTGAATATAACGCCGACTGTATGCAGTGTAGTGATGCCGTAGAATCGTCCCAATGAATTTTCTGAGTTACAACCGGTCACGGCTGCGGT